CAAGCATAGAATTTGTGCATGAAGAGGAAAGATTGTACCCCTGCATTGTGGTTGTGTATGTTATCTCCACGTGAATGAGCTACTCTCCTGATCTGTATTTTCAGTCTACCTTTTATTTGCAGCTTGCTTTAAAAATAATTTGTGATGCAAACCTGTGTTTACTGCAGCACGATTCCTAATAGCTAAAATTGGTCTATGTGTCCCTCAACAAGCGAATGGATAAAGAAAATGTGATATTTATACCCAATGAAGTACTCTTCTGCTATAAAGAAGAGTAAATTTAAGTCATTTGTAGGAAAATGGATGTATTTCAAGACTGTAATGTTAGGTGAAATAAAGCAGATATACAAGCTCAAATATCACATGGTTTCTCTTACATAAGAAACCCAAAACCAAAAGCAAAGTAACAAATAGATAATAGGAAGTAGGGAGATAGATGTGTTCATGTGAGAAAGGGACCAAAATATGGAGGACAGCGGAAGGGAGGGAAAGCGTGAAAAGAATTGAGATGTGCTGTGTACATGTGCCAGCTCCCCACAAGGAATGCAGTCATTACACACTGCAAGTATCTGCTAATACAAAAATGAAAACAAAAAGCCCTGTGCTTATTTCAAAACTAAAAATCTAATACCTCCTTAATTTAAAGTTCAGTGCATACGAAAGTTTTGCCTTACACTTACTTACTTATAGAATTAGCATTTTGAGGTTGTTTTATGTTTTTGTCATATCTGCAAGGTTCAGGCAACCTATGGTCTTTGAGTATCTACATAGCATCTATGTAAGTATCTCTGCCTTATTAGTGATATATGACAATTGTAACCTGAAAAAAGTAAAACAAAGATTTCAAATGACATAGAAATCTGGGTCCAGAAGAGATAGCTTAGCATGTGGGGCATAAGACTATTTTAGTAGGCGCCTACTGTTTGCATTACTTCCCTTCTCGCTGCGTAACAGCATGCACATGGACACCCTTTCCACACCATGTTATCTTCAGAGTGTTGACAGTATCAGTGCCCCACATTTCTGGTTGCAGACCAAGAACTGGCTGACTTGAGAACCCCATCTACCTGGCTGGGTCTCAAACACGAACACCTCATCCAAACCCCAAAAGTTCAAGATTTCTGCGGATTATTTGTGCATAAACACTGAGAAAACAGTTTTTTTTGGATTGTGAGTCCTGGAAATGCATGTCAGGAGTGAATCTACTTGTTCTGGCTAGACAGAAAGAGCCCATTTACACATGGGAAAATCAGGCTTCCTTTCAAGAAGGAGAGACCAAGACGGAACATCATGACAGAAAGGCACAGTGAGTCATGGGAGAATGGATGTCATGTCTAGCCCTTGATTTCTTCACAAACATTTCCTTTTATTTTTATTTTTTGATATGATTGTTAAAGTTGCACTTCTATCATTTGAAACTGCTCAAGCTCTTAAATAATCCTTAGCCTGCCAGATCACCCTAGGAATGTACACATGCTCTGTGCGTGTGTGTAGTCTGCTGTGAGCATTTGGATTGTCCACCATAAGCGCATCCGGTTAGATATAGATAATTTTATGAAAATAGTATGAGTACAGTTTCTCTAAAAAATGAGTGACTTCAGCCCAGCACTCACTTTTCTGTAAGCTGTAGCCTTCCCTTAAAAGTGTACCTTGTGTTCCTTTGCCCCGGGGTTCAGACCCCTGTCCTGAGCCAACCTGTTTGTTCACTCCTGGTGCAATCAGAGCCTCCATTTCTCTCTGCAGAGACCCTAACACAGTCAGAAGTCATGGGGTTCGTGGAGTCTTGCCTTCTTCCCTCCTATATCCCAGGCACTTAGAAATGATCCTGAAGCTACGCAAAATGCAGTAAGATTTTACAGAAATGCAGACTGACTGCAGAAGGCAGCTGCAATACAGGACACCCTCCCAGTCTTCCCTCCCAAACAAACGCCATATGTCTGTTGACTATGCATCCTGGCTCACTGCTATGTGTTGACCTTAGATACTGAAAAGATGCCAGCACACGAGGGACCTAATTTTCTTTTCAGCTCATTGTTACAGTCACATTTAATACGGCTGAGGGAAAAAAATAAAAATGATGACAAGCAGGCCTGGAATTCTTTACAGTAGTTCATCGATGAGACAGATCTCTGGACGTTTCAGAATCCCTGTGATGATTCACAGCAGGAGGTGTGTTCTGAGGATCTGTGGCTTGGGATTGCGGTCAGAACCACTTTGAAATTCGTGTTATCTTAGCCAAACTAAGAAGTGGCACCTTTCCTTTTAGAGCTTCTATATTCCATTAACTCAGAACAAGATAATAATACTGAACAAAAACAGTTTGTAGAAAATCATGCTAGTCCATGTGTGGCCTGGTAGGACAGCAAATCTTTTAACTGTATTTACATAGTAAATTTTTAAGAACTTTTATTCATTCCCCAGAGCTGCGATAATAAAGTACCAGACACTTGGGGTAGGTGTGGGGAGGACAGACTTAAGTAACAGAATTTATTGTGTCTCTGTTCGTTAAGCTACAAATCCAAATGCAAGGTGTTCCCTCGGAAACATGTAGAGAGGAATCCTTCCCGGCTTCTTTCAGCTGCTGCTGTTTGCTAGCATTCTTTGGCTTGTAGGTGCATCACTTTAATCTCGGCCTTTGTGGTCGTAGGGGCAATGTCCTCGGTCCCTCTTCTTCTAAGTGCATCAGTCATATTGGATTAGAGCATGCCAAGGTCAGTAGGATCTTATTTTGACTTGGTTACATCTACAAAAATTCTCCTTTCCACCAAGCTGGCATTCTGAGGCATAGTGAGTTAGAACTTTAACGTATCTTTTTTGGGAAAATAGTTCAAGCCATGACACCTGTATTATTTTTGCCACTGAGTGTAACACTAATATTTGCTTGTTGTAAAAATAGTAAAGTTATGAAGAGAAGTGTAAAGAAAAAAATTCAAAATTATTCAGATTTTTCTACAATTGCCATGCTATCAATTTAGTGCATATATTTTTATTTCATTTTTTTATTTTAAAGAGAAAAACAATAAAATGATGGTACAAAATTTTATAACAAAATAGTATGAGAGTAACAATAGCTAATGCATTGCATGTTGTTATCTTCAAAGTAGTTATTCAGGTTAAAAGATATAGGCATGAAAGATTGATCAAGCAATACAAGCACAAAACTTTGTTTTCAATGAACTAACAAATTAGTAGTATAACTATCCTACTGTCATATATATATATATAAAATTACATATATATATTTTATTTTCTCCTTTACCTATCCCAGTTTCTCTTTCCTTTGGAACAGTTTCTTCCCTAAAGAATATCTTTTTAAATACTTCTTAAATCAAAAGCTTTTTTTCTTTACCACCAGAATTAAATCAAGTTCAAAGACAAAGGTAGTTAAAAACACCTGCAGTTTCATGCAAGTGATAATAAATGATACTGTGATAACTTTTTCTTGCTTCTTTAAAGAATAAAGGCCTATAATCTAGATATTCAGATAGAAATAATATATTTGTTTTTATCCATAGTCAAATTATCCTCCAGAAAGGATGTATTAACTTTACTCTCACCAATTATGCATGAGAGGTCTAGTTTTTCCCACTTGCTTTGTCCTGTGGGTTATGAGTATTAGTAAGATGTATTACTTTAAAACTTTAATTTTATATTTCCTCTTTTGGTAATTCTAAGCCATTGTTCTTTTTTATTCTTAGGTAATTAACATGAGTCCCTAATTTTGTGTGGTATTTTTTTATGACTTTATTTTTAAATTTTTGTATTTCTTTTTGGTGCTAGGGATGGAACCCAGAGTCTTGCACATGATATTTCAATATATAGATCAGTCTAGATTTGGGGGGACATATTGTGTGAAATTGCAACCTAGGGAGTCTGGTAGAGTTTAATTTCTTTACTTTTAACTCATCCTAAAAAATTGTATTATGTGGGGATACGCATGAGGAAATTTAGTGTGTTTCCTGTTCCCCTGTCCAAGGGATCAGGTTTATTTTAAAAAGCCTTGTACTAATTCACAGAAAAAGTGCATGCTCAAAAAGCAACCAGGGAAACAATGCTGAGCACCTGGGCAGAAGCAGTAGTTTTAGCTTCAATACTCACAGTTAATTGAATTTCTCAGTATTCTTGCTAAAGCTATCCCCTTTCTCTCCCACTTCCCATAGATTGTGATGTTGTAGGAAATAAATGAAAATACAGGGTTAGTTTTCAATCCATTCTAATTTGCTGAGAGCAATATTGGCAAACTTGGGGCTTGTAATTGTCAGTTATTCAAGTTACTTGCAAACCATCTCAATCCTTTATACTGGGCTTGAAGTTAAGACCTCTTGTTTAGAGAAGCACTACAAATCTGCAAATAACATAAGCTTAGAGGGAAGATACCCTAGAGAAAATCTACAAGGACCTACGGGTGGTTCTAAATCAAGCTTACACAAATAAGCAGTTGTCAGATGAAATGAAGACAATATATCTAAGTCTTTCTTTTTCCTTGGCCTGCCCATTAATTCACAGTTGAGGAACACTTGCTCCCCAAATGTACCATTCTTTTACTGTTAACTTTCATTTGGATCAGCGAGTGATTCTATTCTTTCTACCCGACGTGTTCAAGGAGAGGCAGTGCCAATGGCTTGTCTCAGGTGGATGACATTTTATGTCAGTGACTTGCCTTTTAGCTTCACACACTAGCTTTCTCATCCCTCTTTAAATGAGTAAATGAATACAAATTAAAGTTTTAATCTCCAACTGGAACATCAGTAATGTTCTCACTAAAAGTAGTTTCATAATGGTCTCATTACTGCTCCTAAGTGCAATGCACTGAGACATTTAAATTGCTGAGTTGCTACTACATATATTCTTTGAGAACAGGTATCCAGGTAACCATGGCAATCGTGTCTCCAGGCAGGATGGGAGTGGGCTGGGAAACTATTTCATTAATTGAAGGGAAGAGATTGAAAGAGGTTTTAAGCTGGAGATCAGTAGGAAGAGAGAGAAAAGGTAGATTTCACTGTCTGTTTTTCTTTTTATTATTAAATTATACAATTCTGAGAAATGCCAAATGATTTGAAGGGTTAGATAAACCATAAGATTAAATTACAGCAGCTTCTTTCCTTCCCACCTTATTATTGTGGTAGACTGTAACAGATTTTTTTAAGTTGGGTTTTTATGTAGTTTGATTGAAACTTGATGTATCTCAGAAAGCAGAACGGTCTAATGATTTAAAAAGAAAAAAGGGGTGAACCCTCACATAAGTAAAAGGCTGTGTAGGCGCATAAGAGCTCTATTTATTTCAAATTGATAGCACTTGAAAAAGCTGAATTCGTCAGTAAAATTCATTTTCAAACTTTTTTCCTGACTTCCTCCCACTCTTGACAGTTCGCAACATTAAAAATTTTTTATTAAAGTCTAAAGAAATATTGTAAAGAAAAGAGGGCACCTGAATTATATGGAGAAAGAAATAATTGCCAGATATGGTTTCTCAGAGGAGCCTAATATTTTGTTTCCATTTACAAGGTACTGCAAATTTGTAAGTAGATCAGCTTCTTTATTTAACTAAAAGTGCCCTTGTATAACTTGCTACTTTACTACATAACAAAATGTTCTAATGGACAGTTTAGGATCTGTGAAAATCCAATTATCCAGATAGAAAACCGGACTTGTAATATACATTAGCTTTAGTTATAGAATTTCTTTTCAAATTAGGCTACCATACAATGCCTTAGTGACCCATGTTGAATCTCTCTAACTCCTGATGAGGGCTTCTTTCCACGCTCTCTGCAATGCTGTACCACCTAGTTAATTCTAGAAGAAAAATAAGAGAGCATCAGGTGCACCAGTTACTACATAAGGAAACTGGACTAGGAAGACCTCTTCTTCAAAGGTGGGTCAATTTTTAATAAATTGCTGGAAGAGGCAATGCAGAAAATTTTATTTATAAAATTGAGAAAGGCAACCTAAAACTGGGTGGATAATTACTAACCAAATGGGTTTCATCTCAAAACAAACATTTCTTTTCTGCCAAACAGATTTCTATCTTGGAAAGCCACTCATTCCTGAGAATTAAGCCAGAAATCATGGTCTGAATGATGATACCTCTTTGGGTACTATCCAAGTCCATGGCGCTGACCGCCTCCCTTTCCTCTGCAGCCTAGAGGCCTTCAGTTACCGGGAGCTTCCCGGTGGTGCTGCAGCTTCCACTGCGGATGCCCAAAGCCTGTGCTTCCTGGATGTTCCCGGTAGGAGATGAGAAGGTAAATAAAAGAAACGATTCGCTTTTCTAAGCTTTAGAGGATAGTGGGGGAGCATATTGTCAGCCTTGCTATCATGGCTACCATTATATTGGGCACACATTTTCTTTCTTTCTTTTTTTTTTTTTTTGAGATGAAGTTTCACTGTTTTGCCTAAGCTGGTCTTGAACTCCTGGGAACTGCCTGCCTCAAGCTCCATTCTGTGACTATACAAGTTGAGAAAAAGTATTGTTTATGGTGTGGAAGAAGAACCATTGCTTTCAAGAATGGGTGGAGGGATACAAACAGAAGTGACTCATGCCTGTGTCAGATCTTTTGAATAAAAAGGTGTTACTATGGCTTCATGGCCAGCATGTGATCAGCTGCTGGCAACTGTTACCTTACAAAGAAAAAACATGGTTTTGTACAGTGACTGAAGGGTGACCAGAAAGCTGAGTGGGATGTCTCACATTTTGGATTATTAATTCCAACCCACTACTTGGCTTTTAAGCCAATCCAGCTCTTCGTCATGCAGACTTTATAAACTGATCCTTCTAAAACCTTTTATTCCTGTGTTACACTTTCTAAACTGTGGTCACTTAAGCAACAGCTTTGTACAAAAGGACATAGAATTAGCTCAAAGCCAGTACAGCACAGCTCTGAAGAGCACACTCTGGCATTCCACTTGCAGCAATACTAAATACAGAATGACAAGCCCCTTTTTCCTTCCTTCAGAGGTGGCTCTGAATGGTTTTACTTGGAGTATGCCAGCAAAAGCCCACATGCCAAGTGATGCTTGAATTTATGCTAATCAATTCCTCCTTCTCCAGTTCTGGAGTATAAGTCAGGATGTCCCAGTGGAAGTTTTCCTTTCAAAAAGCAATGTCATCAATAGTGATACTGTTCTGAGCCTCCAGTCTGTTACATGTCTCACCACAGATTATGGGCCCATCACCATCAGCTAGAAGTGGTGAGGACTTTTATTATCTGAAGCCATATTAGAACTGCCAGGCCAGAAGATTATGATTTGTCACTGAATGTAGCTATATGGAGAATTGTATGTGGAGTATATAAAACCTTTTCTGTGTCTCATTTGCATTGCAAATAGGGAAGCTAACCAGAGTTCTTGAATAAATAACATAAATAAAACATGGCTTTACTATGGTAAATGTTCCATTCATGCCAGAGGAAGCCAAAACCATTACAGTGGATTGTTTCCATCTAAACAGTTCTATCTCACACACCTCCCCTTTAAAGGGGCTGCCAATAGGATGGGGACCTGGTAGACAGCTTTGGAAAACACTCAGTAGAGGGAGCCTCAGGGGCTTTTTAGAAAGCATGATTCATCACCCTGTATTTTGTTTTGTTTTGAATATCCTCATGACTAAGGGAGAAACAGTAGCCTGCTCTTCAACTCAGTCCATGCCTGAGAGACCAGCCCAGAGCTCTATGAAAGGCCAGGACCAGACAAAGCCTATCATCTGAGACTGAGAAAAATACTACGTAACTCAATGCAAAAGGCTGAATTAGTCTACAGACCACATTAAAGGGCAGTCAATATTTGAACTTCAACTCTAGTGGACGTTCATTACGCTTCTGCCTGGCATTTGCTCCTTCTTCTTGTGATAGTAGTGGCCTGTTTCATGTATGTGCTTTGTGATCCTTTCATGCTTTCTAAAGGGAGTGCATATGCAGGATAAGACAACTGATGCTCCCCACTCTCTGGTCATTGAATCAGAGACAAAAGAACCCAAATGCACCACAAATCTTGCCAGTGATGATAGAATTCATTTCTGTGAAATTCATTTCTGTTGGAGAAAAGGACCCTTTCATTTGCCTACCTTGTGCTTTGAGCAGAGGATTGAGGCTTGGAGTTGCAGCCAGAAAATGGAGCCGACAGACAGAAGCAGGCTGAGAGGCAGATGAAAGATATGAAGAGCCTAATGAAGGACAGTTTAATGCCTTGTGCACTTAGGCCTGAAAACAGCCCTATGCTGTGACCCATGTAACAAAGCAATGCTTTCTCTTGCTGCTTGCATCAGTTATGATAGGAGCTACTGGCCACACACTCTTTTCCACCATGACCGTTTCACATCATCCCATCTTGGACTTCCTTCTTGGAGCCCCCACGCTGACTCATGTGAGTGCTCACCCATCAGTTCACTCAGGGTACCAGTGTTCTCCTGCATCCAAGCTTTACTCATGGTGCCGGTTCCTTAGAAATCTCACCTTTCTTTTTCCTCATGGCAAAACCCATTGACTGACCCTCACGGCTGAAGCCAACCTCACCTGCTCAGTAAGGTGTGCATTAATTAGTACTTTACCCCACTCTCTATGAGGAAAATCTAAGAGTTTCCTGTTTTTATCCTCATGATCATTTCCCTTAGTCTGTGAAACCTTAATACGTCATGAGGACACTCTTTTGAGACTTCCAGCTCTCCCATGAGGCTGTGAGTTCTTTAGTATTAGGGTCTGTATTGATTTGTCATTCAGAGTAGGCAGCAGTGTTGTAACAGGCTGTCTCTGGAACCAGAATAAATGGGTTTAAATGCTGGATCTGCTGCTTCCTAGGATGTGATTTAAATACCTTACCCACCCTCTCCATGCCTCAGTTTACTCATCTGTAAAATAAATGATAGTATTAATGCCCATTTTATAGATTACTATGAGGATGAAATGAATATTTCCTTGAAGTACTTCATGCAGTGCCTGGAACATGGTAAAAGTTCAGTAAATATTAGCTGTTAATGAATGGCATAAATAGGTATTTAAAAATATAATTGCAACCATCAAAAGCTGGCTTATATCCAGTAAGCCTTATAGCAAAAGTAGAAAAGAAACAGAAATAAGGAATAATTTCTTATAATTCCATTCTTAAATTCATATATTCTTTCAAACAAATGTGAGATGTTACGGAAAACTTAGCTGTTTTGAGGAGATTCATTCATATACCTGTATTTGATGCAAAGACATTACTAAAGGAGCATTTTGTTTGGTCCTAGGAATCAGAATTGATTCAGATAACAGCATTGACATCAAGGCTTATTGTCTAGTAGTCTGTGCAATAGAGACGTGTGTGCACCTGGAGCTGCTGCATATGATCATCCAAGGGGTGTGTTAAAAGACACAGCAGTTCAGGCTCCAATGTCAGAAACACCAAGTCTAAGATTGAGTATTTGTATTTGTAACAGATCTCATGAGAACAGATCGTCTATGCTTCCTGGCATAGAAGACAGGATAATCTTTACCTTTATAGTCAAGTAAGGATTTTTACCAGAAATGCATGTGCTGGGGTCTTACAGAAAGTAAGAGCTTGTTAAACTGTCACATGAGAAAAGAGTTGAGCTTCAAGCATAGCTGTCCAGGTACTACTGTCAAAGATAGTGCCCAATGCCTGAACAGTGTTCCAGTGTTAAAAGTATTTAACATTATTATTATTATTATTATTATTATTATTATTATTTCACTCCGGTTCCAACCCAGCTGCACAGTGAATTACCTGAAAGGCACTTGAAAATTAAGAGACATTTGTAATCCATCCTCAGATGTTCAGGTTTGGTTAGTCTAAGTCAAAGCCAAAAGTCAGTACTTTTGTTTGCCAGTTGAATCCAGAGACTTATGTATGCCAGGCTAACACTCTACCACTGATCCACACCTCTAACCTCAACTCTCAGTCCTTTTAAACAAGCCCAGGTGATCGCACATGGACAGTAAAAAATCTCCATGCAGGCATCCCATGGTATCCCTGGAAGACTTTGGGGCCACTGTGTGCTCCTGGGCTGGAATCAGACTTGCGTCTTTCTTCTGGGTGCCAAAAGAGGTCAGGCCTCTTGCTTGAAGAAATTTTACAGAGGCTGATCAAAACCACAATCCAAAGGCTTATATAAAGCAAGTGGATATTTTTAGCATAAAACAGGATGTAACAAGTTAGATATGTCAGCCACCAAGTAATTAATTGATTTAATTGTTAATGTCAAAACATGCCTACAGTATGAAAAACACATTAAAGAGCATACATGTACTGGTTCTGTAGTTCTGTGATTGTACACAACCTCACACAGAGATCAGACCAAACATCTCTGTGAGGCTACATGCTCGAGAGGCCCAGGCAAACGGCCTTCTCTCTGAGACTCCCATTGGCTGGTATAACAGTTCTTCAAACTCACTTCTGGTAAAGAACTCCAGATTTAAGTCAAGCACTATTTATGTAAGTGGGACTCTAGAATCTATTTTTTGAGCCCCGAGGATGTAACATAACTGTCCAAACTGGCATCTGAGAACCACTGAAATTTATTACCTTTAGCACTTTTTAACTCTGACGACCCAAATAAACAAAGCACTCTCCGTATCTTCAGAATCTTCAGCCATGGGAGTAAGGGAATAAATATGCTTTTCTTTGTTTCCATTTTGATATTTTAAAATACTTTTATTGGGTGGTCATATTTCTGTAGTGATCTTTTTTGTTTTTCCAACTGAGTTTTCACACACCATAAAGTGCTTGTGGGAATCATTGTTGCCCCCCTCCCTTATTCATTCTTTTTGACTGGTAATAGCATCTTAATGGGGCATCTCTTCTACTGTCAGTAAAGATGCTTGTCTGTGATCCCAGCTAAGATAATCAGGTTTCCTCTCCCAAATCTTTGGACCTTGAATGGAACAATGCCAGGATAGGAAGAAACAAAAAAATGGTTGGTGTCAACAGTTGTCAGATGAGACAGTCATTTGGATACCAAGATACCCTGAGCTGCTGTGTTTACTCAGCTAGACTTTCAGCTTGCTACCTATGTTCTGCCAATACTTTTCTGTTTTGCTGAAGTTAACTAGAGGTGATTTCAGTTGCTTGCAACTAAGGAACCATGTAAGATACAATGTTCAAACAATATAGTGATCCCTGTGTCCATCTGCCTACCAGTGTAGTCTGAGATCACAGGATCCGGTAGATTATACATAGAGCTGGCTAATGTCACTTGTGATACAATGAGATCATGTGACTAACCTTGGCTGCTGGGTGGATGCATGAGAGTCATAAAGCTTAGAAAATGAAAGCTCTGCATAGTCAAACACACTGTTCACAAATGAACAGAACCAGCAAATAAGAAAGGTTGGGGAGGTAGGAGACTAATCATAGTGAATTTGGAAGTACAAAGTTTTAAAACAAACTCATAACCGAGATTAATAAGTGAAATCTATAAGAAATGATAAGCAATATTTAGAATTCATGGCTTCACAAGCCCAAAGCCTAGTGAATGGTGGCAAGTTACACGCCTTCCTAGAAATGAAACTAGGTCACTGTTTACCACAGGAAATGTGGAAATGTGGTAAAAAAATGCTTATGAATTTGCATCTTAATAAAATAACCAATTAGGAATAAAGTCAATGTTTACTTTTCTCATTTTTTGCTGTAGCTACTGAATTAAAAATGCATTAAAGATGTACAATCATATGTATACTTGTCATCTTAGGTGTTTGTTATAGTAATGGCAAGTTGATGAAGCTATCTCTCTCTCTCTCTCTCTCTCTCTCTCTCTATATATATATATATATATATATATATATATATATATCATGAGGAGCTATGCAAAGCCAGTATCAATTTCTTCTGTGAATGTTTCACTCCTAGAAGGTAGAATGTTCAAGTGTTTCATGATATTTTAGCAAAAATATTCCCCTGAATAATGTTAAGTAAAGTAATTCAGACATACCATCTTAAATATTACCTAGTTTCTCTCATATATAACATCCAACATACAAATAAAGAGAAAAATAAGAGTTAGATACTAGAAAATAGAGAATAGATCTTTCAAAAAAAAAAGAGAGACCAAGAGCTAGAGGAAGGGAGAGAAAGAGAATAAAGCACAATGAAATGTGTTATGCAGAGGTACCAACTCCCCAGGAGGGGTATAACCATTATATGCTACAAAAATCTACCAATAAAAAAATAGAAAACCCAAAACAGGCAAAAAAAAATTGGAATAATGTTTATGCCTGGACATCACCTGAATGTCCAGAAAAATGTATGAATTAGGAAGAGTCTACATCTGTATAGAATTAGATGTGCTGTGTGTACATACATATCAGATTGGTTAAAGTGTGCTGGTAATAGTGCTATTGTACTTAGCTTTTACCAAAGAAACCTATTTTCTGATTAGCAAAGTAAATCACTGTAGTATACTCTTGCAGTGTAGGGGGTTCCTAAAATATCTACATCACCTAGAAACATTATACTCATAGAAATAAAACAATTCAATTAATGTATCAGACTAAACATAGCCACTGTTTATATGAATGTTTACTATATACTAAGAATCACAATAGTTATAACCTGACCCTCCCAACAGTCTTGACAAACAGGTATATTTGCCCTCTTTCAGAGATGAGGGAACTGACTCAGTCAGGTTTAATTATTTGGCTATTAACACATCTAATGAGAATCAAAATCATAATTTAAACCTAAGCAGTCTTTGCCAAGAGCTCACCACGTGCCTGTTGTGCTAAAATACAATATACATGGGATTGGAGCCTAGAAATAATTAATAGGCTTCAGAAATATACATCTAATTCCATAGTGCCCAAGTACCTACTAGTACGTCTGTAATATGTATATAAACTACCTGGAGACCTTGTTAAACTGCAGATAATGATCCAGTAGCTCTGGGTTTGGGCCTGAGAATCTGGATTTCAAACACGCTTCAGGGGCAGCTGATGCTGCTAGCCCTCAGCTCACATTTTGAACAGTAAGTCAGTGGGGCATACCACTAAATCACCCAGTGTCTTAAAATATTCTCTAATAAAAATCATGAGTGTGTCTCCAGATAAGTTGTTAGCACCTGACACATCTTTAAAGCATCTCCAGTATCTCCATCCCTTAGGAGTGCCAGGCTCACATAAATAAAGCCATTTGATTAATGCTTACGGTGTGTGTGTGTGTGCTACACCCTAAACCATTGTTAAGTAATTCTTGAGAAAAATACTTGGACTTTGTAAAAATAATAATGAACACGGTAAGAACTGGAGCTCGCTATCAAGAGTGCAATATTCTGATTTACTTTTACATGGATGAGATAGAACAGGCTGTGGATTTTGTGCTATAGCTAGCTTGTTCCTTGAGAAATTACTGACAATAGCCCTCTTTCCAAAGAATCCTAGAAAAATGGGCTCTAATGAGATAGCAATAAAGTCACTAGGAGAAATCACACATGTTCTTTGGTATTTGAAAAAATGAACTGTAAAAAAATAATTTTTTAACATCAAATATTCCTCTACTTTTTGCTCAGATTTTTACATTAATTATCACAAGGACCCTGCACCATTTATTCTTTTACACACTCTAAGCCATGAATGGGAAAATTCTGTCTGCAGTCTTGACTCTCAGGGTCTTTGTTTTCCTATCTGATCCCCAAGTATGTGAACTGTCATCATAGAATATGAATTGCCCTGGTCACTCCCCAAAGAGCTCGCTCAAGATTTTATCAACCTTTGTTTGACCAAAGATTACTCTTTTGATCTTGTGAAGAAAAATATGTCCAACTCAGTCAGCCAGCCTTTTGAAATAACCCAGGGTATTTGCACTATGCTTGTTTACTTTAAAACTACTTCACGGTGTGCACCGTCTTTTTCATAATCGCTCTCTCACCCGCCAGCCAAATACACACACACCAACTTACAGTTTTGAGGCTGTACCAATTTTCAGAGGATAATAGATATACAAGCATACATTTGTGTTCTCAGTTGCTAAACAAAATACCACAGACTAAGTAGCTTAAACATTAACCATTTATTTATCAGAGTTGTGGAGGCTGAGAAGTCTAAGATCACCGTATCAGCAGATTTGTCTTGTAGGGCGCTCTTTTACATTCATAAATGAGCACATCGTCACAATGTCCTTCTATCCTTATGTGATAGAAGGCACAAAGGAGCTCTCTTGGTTTTACACAGGCACTCGTCCTGTTCATGAGGAACCTATCCTCATGGCCTCATCATCTTCCAAGAGTTCCAGCTCCTCATATTATCACATTGGGAGTTAGCATTTTAATATATGAATTTTGAGGGGGATAGACATTCAGTTTAGAGCAATATCCTAGTATTTATAATACATTTTGGGGTGCAAAATTTTTCTCACTGGGAAAACATAAGTAGCCAAAACTTTCTCCAAGCAGAACACGACACCTAATATCTCACCACCTACAGAAAGTATGTGCCTTGTCCTGTGGAACAGAGAACATAAAAATGAGTAGACATAAGTTGCCATAGGTGAGTATTATTTTCAAAATGTAGCTTTCTATATTCTGTGCCAAGAAATTCTGACTCAGGAGATCAGAAGTCAGGCTCCAGGATCTGCATATTCATCCATGTCTTAAGTGGTCTTGGCTTTAAAAGTTCACAGTTTTGAATGAGAGACAGACATGTAAACAAGTAATCATCACTCAGCAGGATAAATTCAAGGCCAGAAGAATATGTCATATCTAGCAGGAGCAGAAAAGGGCAAAGTGAGGAGCCTTCCTTAGTCCAGAGCAGGGAAAGACAGAGGGACGGACGACTTCTTCAAACAGTGTATTTGAGTCTTGAGAGAGAAGTCAAGCAGACGCTGGTTGATGGATGTGAGAAACGGATACATCTCTGCTTGTGTGAGTGTTAAAGGTTAAAGTTGGGAGAAGCAGGAGGAAGTCGAGGAGCCTGATGCAAGTGGTTCCCTAGGTTTTACATCACCCAATTTTACAGTGTTAATCACACTTTCGTTTTATATGTTTATTGCAATAATTTTCTGAAATATATTAACAAACAGCTGTTTGCAGTCTCTCTGTTTGAATGTCCACTTTGTATTCTTTGATACTGTGATTTGAGCAAGTATTTCTAAGATGATAATATGTAATCTATTAACAGGTGATTTCTTACTGTTTTTTTTTTTTTTTTTTTTGTAGTTCTCTATTACGTGTACCCTTCCACCGCTTTGTTTTGTTTTGTGTTTTTCTCTTTTTCCTTTTAAATAAAATTTTTTTAAAAAAAGTCTCTTGACAAAGAATGCCTCTTTTTTAAACAATTTACACAAAGACAACTGGGCGCCTGGTAGGGCTACAGCAAGGGGAAAGGAAAGATCTTGGCCACTACTTTCAGCCACATAGATCACTCCATGAGACAAGCTCATGGAATCTTGAAGGAAGGCTGCCATTACGGTCGATGGTGCCGGCTGCATGTGAACAGAACAAATATGCTCCAAATAGTGAGTGCGCTGAAGAAAAGCACACATAGTTGCAGAAGGGGGAGAAATTGGGCTAGAGGAGGATCATCAAACACCGATTTACTGTGTTTTACTTTCCCTGATACTGTTGCCAACACACTGATCAAGTAACTTCTATCCAGTGCTCATCAGACATAACACCAAGCAACAGGATGCCCGGCTTCCACAGCAGCCAGCCCTTACCCACACATTTACCAGCTCTTCACTCTGTTTAGCTGACTCTTTAAATTCACTCCGAAAGACTTCAATCTTACAGAAAGGTCTCCATCTCATTTTTGAAAGGAATATCATCTAGTTGATCTGCTTGCATTGACACTTTATAGATGTGATCTATTTTCTTTCTTAGGAGAGATGAGGAACCCACAATTTCACCTCTGTAGACATCTTCCTTACATTATGATTATCATAAGCATTTTAAATATCACATTTGGTGCAATCCCTATGGAAATCAGTGTGGAGATTTCCCAAAAAACTAGGAGATCTCATTGACCCAGCTCTTCAACTTCTGGGCATCTTCCCAGAAGAACTGAAACATCATACCACAGTGATATATGTGCACCTGTGTTTATAACAACACAATTTGTAGTAGCCAGATCTTGGAAACAACCCTAATGCCCATCAACTGAGAAATGGATAAACCAGACATGGCATTTTTATATAGTGGAGTACTACTCAATCACAAAGAAGGATAAACTTGAGACTTTTATAAGTAAATGGATGCAGCTTGAGACCATATTCATAAGTGAAATAAGTCAGACACATATGTGTAAATATCATACTGTCTCACCGGTATGAGAAGCTAAAAGGAAGCGTGTGTGTGTGTGTGTGTGTGTGTGTGTGGTAGTTAAGATAGTTATACTACTGATTTCTCTGAGCTTACTGAAGAGAAACATTTGTGCTGGTATTGTTCAGACAATTAAATGCAGATGTCTTATACTCTGAGTAACTGATTTGAAGATAACTATACACAATGTATATATCACCATTACCCCCTAATTGTAGTGTTTTGAAATTTTGTTTTTTCTCTTTAAAATAAAATTTTACAAATACCATATTTATCTATCACTTTCTATATGTTCAATAAGTGTCCTAAATCCACACTGTCATGTCATTTAAATTCTACAAGTATCTCACAATATATTTATTTTTAAACCTCGTTTAGAGGTAACGCCAAGGCTTATAGAAATTAAGCAACTTATCCTAAGTCACACAATTAGAAAAATAAATAGCAATCATGATACAAACTCATAATTGTCTGACTCCAAATCAGTACCTAATGCGGCCCTACCTCTTTGCCCTGTAGTACCTTAACCTTTGT